GGCCAAGCCCAGGCCCTATTTACAGATCGGTGCACACACTGGCCTCAGAGCAGGAGACCTGGCCTACTAGCTAGGCTGGGTGACCAAGGATAAGTCATCTGCTTCTCTGAGACCACAGTTTTGTATTTTTAAAATGAGAAGATCTGTGTAAATAACACTTTTCCAACTTAAAAAAACAATCTATGGTCTTATTCATCCATCCACCCACCCACCTACGCATCCATCCATTTGATCCAATCCTTTCTCTTCTTTTGTTAAAGCCAATCAGAGGTACTGGTACTGGTAACTCCATATGGCAAGGGCTGTCCACCCCTACCAGAGTGGCAGGAGCCAGGGGAGGTCTGCATGTGGGATGTTTTTAAAGACACTTCTGCGATTCCAAGAAAGCCTGAATCACTATTGATCAGAAACAGGCCACTGCTCCTGGTTTTATTTTTCTAATGATAAAACTCCGATGTTTCTGAGCTGTATACCTCCACAGGGGAACACCGAATTGGTGCTAAAAGCAGGGTAATTTGTCTCACCATTTGAGAATGTTAATGGAGTTGTATACATATAAAAATCAGAGGACACACAGAGGAAAAAATCAAATGAATGGACTTTAATAACCTAAATGTGATAAACTGCCAAATGAATCATCACCCAAAATCATAACCTTAAGACCTACGGGAGGAAACGCACGTCTGGCAGTTAAGAGGCAAGCCATGTAGCTCAACAGGGGCCCTGCGCCCAGCGCAGCCCCCCTGGGAGGCTCAGGCTGAGGGCCTAGCATCAGGCGCGGCTCCGGCCACCAGCCCGTGACCGACACAGCCCCAAGATGCTTGCTGTAAACGGGACTCACGGGGAGGCTTAGGCAGGTAACGTGCGTACACTCGTAACTCAGTCTGGGCTCTGGCACACCCCCAGCAAGGGCAGCCCGAGGGGTGAGGGCGCTGATCCCTGTGGGTGCAGAGCAAGTACTTGCTAGGTGGATGGGGTGAGTATGAGTCAGTGACAGACGTGACCTACGGTGGAAATGATGTGGCTCTGAAATAAAATGTGCATCTGCCACAGATCTATGAGAACACTCTGGCGAGGGTTTGATGCTCCTGGGACAGTAAGATTATAAAACAGGCAATTATACGTGAGGAACTTACTCCAGACAAAAATAAGTTCTGATGCAAAGATTCACTTACCTTCCTTGTCACCGGAATTCTGGTCACGCGAAAGAAATGCAGCTGATTGCACCCGGGCCCCGACGCTCACGTTACTGGCTTTTAATGCCGCCATTGTCTGATGGACCTACGAAGTCACAGAGGGGAACGGCAGGGTATTTTCAACTAACTTTAGAATCCATGACTTTCCAGGTGCGCCTCAGTCCACTTAAGGTCCAGGAAGAAGTATGTGAGGACTGAGAAACATCCTCAGGGGATATGGAAGATGAGCAACGGCTGCATATTTGGAGAAAGGTGGAGCAGTAACAGCATCTCAGGATGACCCCCACACGTGGACTGCCTGTGGCCCAGGCCACGCGACAGTACTGGCTGCAGCCGGGCTGCGGGGTCTGCTTTGTGACCATGGGCTAGTTGCTTGACCTCTCTGTGCTGCTATCTATGATATGGGGATAAAGCTACTGCTTACTTCATAGTGTTGCTGTGAAGACTGAATGAGTTAATATATGTGAAGCCCTTAGAACAGAACCCAGTGCAAAGTTTATGTGTAATAATTTTTAAAGAAAATAAATAAGATACATTTCCCACTTCCTGAGAATTTAAGAAAGGAAATACAATAAACACAAATTTCCCTTTGCTGTTCATGTCATTTCACGTGCTAGGAGCAAAAACAAATGCCAAGAGTCTGCCCAGCACCTCCCCTCATTCCACCCACACAGAAAACTCCTGCAGGCGAGATGCTGCCACTCGGGACACTTTCTACAGTCTCTCCACTTCTTCGTGCCGCAGGAGACAGGTTAACTGTGCAAGAACCATTTTCATGCTCCCAGGCTCCCAATGTGCCCAGAAACAGGCCACGACAAACATGTTTTTCACATACAGGACAGAAGAGAATCTTAGGAATCAGCGCTATGCTGACATCCACTGAACTTGCACACTTTCAATCAACAGATCTGGTTTAGTGGGAGTCTTAATCAGTGTGAAAGTACATAATATTCTGACAGTGGCTTCCAAAGTGTTTTGTTACCACACCCACAGTAAGAAACACGTGGGGACCCAATACTCAAACATACATATGAACACATGGCTCACGGAGCCGCACCTGATGCTTGCACTGACTCGGTCCTGTGTTCCAGTGCATCCTTGCTTCTCCCCTCCTGCCCTATCCCATTCCACTCATTTCCATTCCAAGAGAAATACTGGGGGCGACCTACTACACTGATTTGAAAAACACTGCCCCAGACGTTCTGGCCAGTCTATTGCTTAGATCATTAGGGTATGGGGCTTGCCTGGAAAAGGCCCCTTCAGCACCCAGATGCCAGCACTCTGTGCCTAAGCCCTGGCTGCCTCTGTCCCCCACAGGGTGGGATGTGTCAGAGACTCTGACAGCAGCAAACACGCATGGGCCTGGCACCACCCCGCTGGGGAGACTCAAATCTACAACAGCAAACAGCAAGCGCTTCTTACTGCATGGTGGGGATGGCGGGAAAGCGGGGAAACATCACCCTAACTCCAGAGGCACCCTAATATCAGGAAGATGGGCAGTGGAAGGTTTCTTCTCAGACTTGGGATCTTATGGCTTGTCCCTTCCAGTTGGATATACACGATGGTCTCCGGATCCAGGCTTACCACCTTCTTTGCAGATCTTTCAGAAGCCCTGAACTTTTTCTGCCACGAGGTCTGGGGGAGGTACTTTACCTTTTTTTCCAGCCACTTTAATGTCTTCTCTTTGCTGTACTTGTAGTATTTCTTTTTGTCTATTTCTGGGTTAAGTTAAAAGAAAAAAAGATTCAGCACAGTGGATTAAACAAAAAATAGATTCATAAGGCTTTGTCATACACAATTCAAAAACATTTTGTAATAGTTTATATTCTTGAAAAACTCATTTAGAGCCTGAGAGTATATTTGACATGTTAAAAAAAATCCCCAAACGGAACTTGGTACCTCAGGTTTCACCCAACCATTAGATGAATGGGAATTTAAGAAAATCACTAAATTATACAAATAGTTCCCAACTCAAGGAGAAATCTTTCTTTTCTCTTTATTGTATCTCTATGAGATGACAGATGTTAACTAACCCCACTGTGGTAATCGTGTCACAATATGTGTGAATCAAACCATCAGGCTGTGCACCCTCAGCTTACACAGCGATGTACGTCAATTATTTCTCAATAAAACTGGAGAAGAATTATACAAACATAACTGTAGACGAGGTAGGTAATTGTTAAAACTCAGCAAATTAGCATGCCAAGCAACCTTTATTTTTCTGAATAATTTTAAGCTCACCTCCATGTTTTCAATGAAAAACTTCTTCTAAAAATAAAAATGGAAATACCAATAAAGAAAATTGAAACTAAATGCAGGTGCCTATGAAGGCATTTCATTGCAGACATTACAAAGAACAACATTTTTGTTACTACTTAGCACTGCCTTGTGGGATGAGGGGAGGGGATCTTTCTTCTGATGTATCAGTAATGCAACCCTAGCTATTCTGGAGGAATCTGGATTTTTGATAGACTCAGTCCGCCTTTTCCTGGGGATGAAAGCTCCACCTCTTATAAACTATACCTCCTCGTGTGACAGTTCCGCCTGTTCCATACGTTGTGACGTCACACCATATCGCCTCAGTTACACCTTATTCGTAGGTTTTCTGCTCTGTGCATTTCTGTGGAGGCAGCACCTCCACTGCCCCCCTCTGCCCACCTCCACGCAGGAGTTCTCTGTGCCCACGGGAAACCCCACGGCCAGCTGCTGGAGCGGCCCAGGGTGACGTGTTCATCTCCTCGGTAATCGTGGTGGGAAATGCAAACTGCTTATCCAGGATCGTTTTCTGCAGTCTGTTGGACGCTTGGGTTCCGCTGAACAGTCTATACAGGACGGGCGGGCCTTAGCTCCCGCGCATGTCCTCCCCTTTCAGCCTGCGGTCGTCAGTGTTCTGGGCAACAGGCGGCAGGATGGAGTGGGGCTGGACCTTCGCACCCATCTCCTCAGGGGGTGTCACTGGGGTAACGAGAAGGCGAGACAGCTGCAGACAGCACAGTCAGAAGGCTGAGGACTCCGAGCCGCCCCGTCTGCCACCCTGGAGCCAGGACCCTGGAATCACTCAGTATGTGCACGCCGCTGAAGGGACTTGGAAGCTCTGCCCACTGCCTGAGACAACAATCCCCACAGAAGCTCATGCCCAGGTCCATCCTGGAAACCCTGCCTTGACCGGGCTTGTCCCTTGTCTCTTGCCTCTAACCCCAAGTTTCCGGGAAGAATGTTCTGCCCATTTTCTCGCTCCCTCCCACTCCCTGAGCCCCGTGCAGCCCCTCCTTCCCCCAAGAATGCTCTTTCAGAAGCAGCAGACCCAGCGCACAACGTCGCCTCGCCTCGGGAAGTCACCTATTAGGTGAGGTGATAGATACAGATCTGACCGCACTGCACCTGGCACACAGCAAATACTTAATATTAGTTGAGAAAAAGTGAAGTGTCACCTTCTTAATGACAGCAGATTCAGACACGAATGTAGCAACGGCCTGTGTCGGGTCTTTAAGTGCATCTCCTCATTGCTGCTCAGCACGACTCTCGGGTAAAAACCACTTTTGTTCCCAACTTAGAGCACTGGGTCTGAGTGAGGTTAGATACATTGTCCAGAGTCGCGCAGCTGGTAAGCAGGGCCTGGGCACTCACTCCCACTCCAGGGTGACTTCAAAGCTGGGGCTGTGACGTCCGTCTCCCAAGGCCGGTCAGGGCCTCGCCCTCCCGGCACTTCCGACCCTGCTCTTTCTGGGAGAACCTCTCCTGCGTGGTTCTATAAAACCTCTTTCCATTTTTCTGTGCCTGACGACTTCTCTGATTCTTTTCCAGCTCCAAGACCAACTGGACCTTTCGCCTGCGGGGACTTAATCCTGCTTCAACAAGACGAGAAAACCCAACTGGAAAGTCTGGTGCCCTGACCTCAGGCTCTGGCGCCTAGTCCACCTTCCTCCAGGCTGTCCGGGGCACCCAGAGCCATGATCGCCTTGCCCCCGTCCCACGTTGCATCACTGGATTCCGACGTCACCTCGCGGGGGGCGGTGGGGGAAGGACGGAGGTACCACGTCAGAAACAAGAAGGCTTAGCTTCTGTGCTGGATCAGGAACTATTCATTATTTAAAAAATCATCTGTATTTAAGAATAATGTTCGTATGATTAATACACCCATTTTAAGTGTACAATTTGAGGAGTCTGGACACATGTTTACATAAGTCACATGACCCTCATTCCCAAAAGGTCCCTTGCGCCTTCTGCAATCTTCCCACGCCCCCCTACTTCGGGTCCCCACTGAGCAGCATCACTGTAGTGCTGACTTTATTCCAGAGCTTCCCAGAAATGGAATCGTACACTAGGTCCTTTCTTGTGACCATCTTTTTATCTCAACATCATTTCTGAGATTCATATATCCTGTTGGCACTGCAGCAGGTCCTTCCTCTGTGTGACAGAGCACCCCGTGTGTGGGCACCCCATGTCTTGTTTACACACTCACCTACTAAAGGACACCTAGGTTGTTTCCAGCTTGGGCTACCTGGAAAGAGCTGCTGCGCCGGACATTCTTGCACAAGTCTCTGCATGGACACGTTTTCAGGTCCTGGGTAAACGCCCAGAAATAGCATTTCTGCCTCATGAGAAACTGTCAAGTGGTAACACTGGTAGGCTGCCGCCAGCCAGGTAGGTGAGTTCCAGCTGATCCCCACTTTCTGTCTTTCTTATTTTAGCCACTCTGTGGATACTAATATTTCCTTGTGATTTAAATTTACATTTCCTGAGTGATTAATGATACTGAACACCTTTTCATGTGCCTATAGGCTATTCATAAATCTTCTTTTATGAAGTATCTGTTCAAACTTTTTGCCAATTTTTTTACTGGGCTGTATGAATATCATATTATTATTGTGTTAAGAGTTCTTTATATATATATTTGAGATACAAAACTTTTATCAGATTTATGCCACATAATCATTTTCTTCCAACTGTGGCTTATCTTCTTTTGTTTTCCTACTGGTTTCTTTTAAAAAAGAAGACATTAATTTTAAGGAAGTGTAATTTATAAATTTTTGGTGGTTAGAGATTTCTGTATCCTAAGAAATCTTTATATGTCTCCAAGGTCATAAAAATTTTTTCCTATGTTTTCTTTTAGAAGTTCAACAGTTTTCATCTTTGCATCTGTTAGTGATCCATGTTGAGTTAATTTTTCTGTATAACTGGGAGGTGGGGAGAGACACTTTTCTACATGGATATCCAATTTCTCCAGGCCATTTGTTGAAAAGACTCATTTCTCCCACTGGATTATCTTGACACCATTGAAAAAAAAAAAATCATTCGACGGTTTAAGTGTAGGTCCATTTCTGGAATCTTTGTTCTGCTCCATTTATCTATACATTCTCATTATACCAACACCACACTTCCTGAATGATAGCAGCTTTATAGCAAGTCTTGAAATCAGGTTGTGCACATTTTCCAATTTCATTGTTCTTTTTCAAAACTGTTTTGCCTACTGTAGGTATTCTGTATATATTCTAGAATCAGCCCATCAGTTCCTACCCATCCTCCAAGAAAACATTACATTAGATCTATAGATCAATGAGGAGAATGGACATCTTAACAATACCGAGTCTCCTGATTCAGAACATGGCCTATTTAGTTAATTCCTCTTTAATTATTCTCAGTAATGTTTGTGATCTTTAGTGAACAGGTCTTGCACATTCTGTGTTACATGTATCCCTAAACTCCAGGATCTTTGATGATATTACAAATGGTACGGTTTTTATAGTCCATTGTCCAGTTGCTCACTGCTAGTATGCAGAAATACAATTGATTTTTGCATATTGACCTTATATCCTGAGATCTTGTTTATTAGTTCTAGTGGGGTTTTTTTTTGTAGTTCCTTTTGGGCTTTTTCTGTACATGACCATATTGCTTATGAATAACGACAGTTTCTCTATTTACTTTCCAATGTGTAAACCTTTTATCTGTTTCTTGTCTTACTGAACCTCCTGGCACCTCTATTAAAATGGTGCACGGAATGGTCAGGGCAGATACCCTAGTCTGTGCTCAGTCTTAGGGGAAAAGTACATTCAATCTTTTACACTGAGCTGTATGTTAGCTTAGGTTTGTTACAGATGCCCTTCACCAGGCTAAGGAAGCTCCCTTCAATTTTCTAATATGCTGAGAAAATGTATTATGACTGAATTTTGTCAAATGTTTTTCTGCATCTATGGAGATGACCATACTGTTTTTCTTTTGCCAGTGTAAATTTGGTGAATTATGCTGAAAATACTCATTTTCTAATGTTGCACATAAGATCAGAAAATACTGATCTTATGTGCAACCAACTTTGCATTCCTGAGATAAACTCCGCTTGGATATGATGTTATTATCCATTTTATATGTTTGATTTGCTAATATTTTATCAAGGATTTTTCAATCTATGATCCTAAGGCATATTGGCCTAGTTTTCTTTTTAAACAATTGTGACTTTGGTATTGGGACAATTCTGGCATCACAGAATGGGATGGGAACTACTCCTTCCTCATTTGATTTCTGGAAGAGTTTGAATGAGTATTGTTATTTCCTTGAACATTATTTATTTCTTCCTTAAAGTCTCGTAGAATTCACCAGGGTAGCAGCTGGGCCTGGAGTTTTTTCCCAGGAAGTTTTGAAGTCATAAATTTATCTCTAATTAAGCATTCCCTGCACAAGAGGATCACTAAGAAAATCCAACGTGACTATCCCAGAATCCACCAAGGACCAAATGCATAAACTACTGTTTACTTCTTAATGCATGAATTTAGATAAGCAAAGTTTAAAACATTCACAAAGGCCACAGATTATCCACAATTACGAAAAATACCGTAACACACTCGTTCAGGTCCTAAATATTTGCAAGAGTAGGGAATTGGATAATACATGCATATGCTGGAAAGGTTTCTTTCTCTTGTGTCTGGTGCCTGTAAAACTGGTCTCAAACATCTGGACAGAGCAAGCTGACAAAGTAAAGATGGAATAATAGTGAGCCCAGAATTAAGTAACATGTCCAGCAGCTGATCGGTTCACAAACCTGAGCGTCCCTGATTGTTGAACAAACTGCCTTCGGCACATTTTCACATCTACTTCCTACTTTTCGGAAACAGAGCGACTCACGTGGCCTCTTTCTTTCCCTGCCCCCTGGGGACAGAAGTTTGGCAACTGTACTTGGGGCATTTAACCAGGGTAGTTTCCTGGCACTTCCCATTAGCCCCTCCGGACAGCGCAGTGCGGCTTTTGCTTGCAACGTGACACAGCGTCACCCCGGATGTCAGCTCCTTTCTGTCGTCTCTCCTGCACGCGAGCTTCCCTGGCGAGAATCGCACTGAGCCCCAGAGCTCACAGACACAGACACGTGGTCTCCTTCGCCAGGAAAGCAGGCAGTGATCTGAGGTCTCTGTTGTCGCCATTCAGGACACAACTGGCCCTGGCTGGATTTGTTCCACAGGAGGCAAGGGGGGAAGGTTCTCATAAACCTCACGGGCTCCCCCAGATCATAATGCCACAGACTTCGGAGGCAGCGCGTGGAGTCTGGCGTCGACCCAGCTGCCTGGGGAACTGGAGCGTTTCAGGGCCCCTCTATCTGCACAGTGTCGGGGGAAAGGATGATGTTTAAACAACACCAGCTTTCTTATCTTTGCTCCATCACAGCTGCTGCCTGCCCACCCCTTGACTGTCCTCTTTGCTTAAAATCCTAGCAGTAAAGTATATGGGATGGAACCAAGCACCAACTTACAAATGGTAATCGGCCAAACTCAAATAGCTGCAGTGCCCAAGGCAGTTCTGAAACAGGGTCATGAGGCGCTGAACACGGAGCTCACTGCGTGGCTGGGAGCCGACCGTTCTTAAGCCGCAAAGCCCTCTAGGCCTCCCTGCCCGTCTCCCGTTTTGGACATGTACAAGTTTTTTTTTTTAAACTAAGTTTCTGTTTTTATATGAGCCAACGTAACAACTCCAGCAGTATTCTGGAGGCTCACGCAGTTGTAAGAAGGAAGGCAAGAGCTGCTGTCAGATGGACAGGGGTTCAAATCCCACTTCAACGACAAGTTCTGCAGGTTAGCCAGTTGCTAAAACTCTCAGAGCCTCTGTTTCCTCATTTACAAAAATGTGAGTTATAGTAACAAAGAAGGGAATTTTGCAAGAATATAATAATTATGTAAAACAATAAGCAGAGATGGCACTTAATAATCTCTCATATGGTAGACAGTTTTCTTATTGCCCGATCGTCCCCTCTCTCCTACATAAGCCACTTGAATATATATTTATCAATGGGCCATCAAACAAATATGTACTGGTCACTTAGCAGTGTATCTAGTACTTAAACATCAGCAAAGAATTAAAAATTTCTAATTCAGAAGACTTACTAGCACTAAGCAAGCACTATATATCCAGTATTTTCTGAGCATTGGTTACTTGTACATCATTTAATTCCAGTAGCATTTATATATATATGCTAGATACTAGATAATATTAACTGCAATACTTAAGTAATGTTTACAGGCTGGTCACTCTGAAATTTCAACACTATAGAGCTAAGGGAATGGAAGCTTTATTTATGATTCAGAACAACTCTGTGAAGTACGAATTCCAAGGTGTGGCAGAATACGGGGCATACTCTCCACTCTTCCTCAAGGATGCTGAAAAGTTTGAATGATTTGTTCTAAACTATATAGCAAATATATGTTTAATTTTCCTTGTAAGCCATCAGATTCTGAAATTGGATTACCAGATGGCCCTAAAGGAGTCTTCCCCCAAAAAGATATGAAGCAAATGTAACAAAGTATTAATATTAGTATTTGTTGATCACTGCGGTTGCATACAAATATCTATAGCTTTTCCTGAGTTTTTCTGTACCTTAAAATTTTTATTTTAAAAAATTGCTTTACCTGCTCAAACACACACACACACACACACACACACACACCAGTTTTCTAAACTCCCTAGGTTTCAAATTTTTCTTTCTTTTTTAATGACAGTAAGGCAAAATGTAATTCAGACTAACCCTACAGCCTGCCTCTAATGCTTAACATATGTCTCTTAGGAGTGCTCAGTAATGTTTCTTGAATTAGCAAGGTATGAGTTTTATATAATTTTACAAATGGGAAATCTGAGGCAGGGAGCAGTTAAGAGTCTTACCTAGTCACAGACTATTTCAAAGAACTGAGGCGAAAGCCCAAACCTCACGCCTGGGCCCCATAGGCACCAGGACACCACAGTTCACTGGCCGGAATGTTAAAGAACAAAGACCCCAATGCAACACAGGACGGTGCTGGAGGGCAGCAACGAGCTGAGTGACAGCTCCCCACGGCCCGCGGGTGGCCCCATCGCAGCTGCCCAGCCGGTTTTGCAGCCAGAGGCCCGATTTCAAAGGCCACATACTATACCTTTGTCCTCTGTCACGTGTTGAAGTAACTTTTCAAGTTCAGGAAGTTTGAGCAACAAGGTGCAATTTGGAAACATGTCGTCCACCACAACCTGACACAGGGGCTGAAACTTCCCCTGGAAAAAAAACTCCAGTCGGTCAGAATGCCAGC